TTTTTGGGGAAAACGCAAAAAAAGAGGGTTTCCCATGTATCCAACCCCCCCCGCAATTTTTACGCCCTCCCAGTGACTCTAAAAAAGGCTTTTTTTTTAGCCGGGGTCAGGACCCCTTAGATATACGCTTTTTTTCCCCCCTTTTGAGTTAAAAAGCCCCCCTTTTTTTTCTTTTTGGGGGGAAGGTTGTTCCCCCCCCCCCCCCCCCCATCCCGGGTTTCCCCCCCCCCCCTTGTTAACCCCCCCCCCCCCTGAAAAATTCACTTTGCCCCCCCCCCCCCCCGCTCTGTGCGTAAGAGCCCTGAGTCGTTTTACTCCATCCGATTGCTGTTCAGGTCGACGGCGTGCGGGTCAACCCGTCAGGCTGGTTCGCGGTGGCGGTGGTTGTCGCCAACTCGCTGTTCGCGCCGTGGGGCATCGTCAACGTACAGCGCCGCGGCGGGCTCGGCAATCCGTGGTGGCGGGGCGATAGTCCTCCGCTCAGCGGAACGGACGACGGGGAGGCCGAGGCAACTGAGAACAGGAAGGAGGAATGGCGTCGGTGAAAGCTCCCAATTGCGGTTTGCGCGTTTAGATGGTTTGTTTTTGTTTTCTCTCTCTGGAGCTAGAGCCGTAAGTGCCTCGCCACCCTCGCAGGAGTCGCTTAGTAACGGGCTTAGGCGGCTCCCGTGGTGTACCTGTGTTAGTGCCAGTGCGCGCCAGTCCCGTGCCCAGTGTTGTGCGACGGAGTTTTGTTGGTAAAATTCTCTCTCTTTTTAGCGCTCACATGCAGTTCGAGACTGCGCCCATGGCGGGCACGTCGCCCCATGGTGCGCGTAGCTATGACAGGGACCGCGGCCGCGGAGCCGGCGGCGGACGGGGCTGGCGCGCAAGCGCCGGCCACCGTCGTGCCGCCGGGAACGCGCCGCGGACGACCCTGGAATAGCAGCCATCGCGCGCACATGGAAGACTGCCTCATTGCCGCAAGGCTCGCAGGTGTGTCGCAGCTCAGGGATGAGTGCCCTGGCTACGGGACGGCGACCTTCAAGCTGAAGTCCGAGAAGGCCGCGGGTGACCGCGAGCCTGTGCAGGCGGCGGAGCGCTCGTTCATCGAGCGCACCGCGTCGCGGAAGGAGAAGCCGACGGAGGAGCAGAAGGAAGCTCGGGCCGCGGCTCGCAGGGCCAAAAAGGCCCGGCAGAAGAAGAACAAGGCGGAGAAGGCTGCGGCGGCGGCTGCGAGCGAGGCCGAGCGTGCGGACTACCCGCACGCGCAGCTGCGCGAGAACGTCGAGTTCGTGATGGAGGGCCTGGAGGGTGCGACGCAGGCGGCGCGCAACCCCACAGGGTCCAACATTCAGGTCGCCTACTCGCTGCCTCCCGAGGGGGGCAGCGGGTTCGGCGACCCTCAGTCCAAGCCGTCACGCCGGCCTCGGCGGCATCAGCGAGCCACGCGACCGTACTCGGAGTCTGGATCGAACCAGGAGCACGGGCCCGCCGTTCCGTCAGGCGCGGCCGCAACGGAGCTCGGCCCGCCCGAGAGAGCGAAGCGAAGCGAGCGGAGCGCTGCGCCGCCCGCTGACGACACGGCGAGGAGCCGTGCGCCGTTGCTGTAGGCGAGGGTCGTGGTCATGTATTGCAGCGCACGCACGACAGCGGTGAACCACAGGCCGCTTTTTTCCGCACGACAAACACGCGTGCCCCCATGAAAAAAGAAAGCTGTGCCCCACGGCCACCCACGGGTGAAGCCACCTTGTGTGCTTGCGCGCGCAGCCCGCCGGTCCCCTCGGAAGCCATGTGTGTGGGGGGCGGGTGGCTTCACGTCAGGTGCGTCCACCTCCACGCCTCGCCCCACCAGCACCACACTCATGTGTCAACTGTCATGAATGGTATGCAGCCGCCAGCCCCATCCGCGCTCGGTAACGTCCGCTGCGCGGCCTAGGCTGCGTGGCTGCCGCGCTCTTTTCTCCGCCGCAACACTTACTTGAACAAATAAAAGGGCGTGCGCGCGGCTCCGCGGTGCGCTGGGGCAGCGATTTTTTTCGTTTTGCGGTCTCTTGGGACATGGCCTACCTACCTACCTGCGGCGAAAGTACGACTTACTATCAAATTCTTACTACCACTAACTGTAACTGTAGTGAACGCGTCGGGCTGGTGGAACCGTTGCGCTGATGTTTCGCTGCTGGCGTGCCTCATCGCAGCCTGCGGAACTGGAGCCACTACCATCGAGCCCCTCCTTGCGCTTGCTCGCGAGCAAGATTGTCTCCGCGCCGCACATCACACATCTTTCGTCGCAGACATGCAGCGGCGGACATATGTCGGCTGCCCGGCGCAGCTGAAGGAGCGCGCAGCCGACGCCCTGTTCGACCTGGTCCATGACAACAAACTCGATGGTAGTGGGAGAACATGGGTACTGGGAGAACTCGATGGTGAGAGTGCCACTGTGCGGGTCGTCGCAGCGACAGACTGCGAGGCCCCGCACGCCTCATTTCTGCGCAGCCTTGACGGCTAGCACAGGAGGCCAGACGGCGCGGCCGCGTGCGCTGCAGGCGAAATATGAAGCTGTGCGGCCAGTCACACCGGATATGCTTTGCGCTGCTTCCGCGCACGGGCACGACACCTGCGAGGGAGACTCTGGTGCGAGGCCCTCCCGAGGCCGATTCAAGCTGAAGCAGACAGACTCGGTCGTGATAGTTTGTATCTCTCATAGGCGGACCGATCTTTGGCCTCTCAAGCAGCGGGGGTGCGGCGTTGGTGGGCGTGGCGAGCTGGGGCGAGGGGTGCGTCGGCATTCAGAGAGACGCTTCCGAGACTCCTTCGAGACTCGCCGGATAACTCTCAGCTTTTGTTAGGTGCGGCGACCCGAATTTTCCAGGAGTCTACGCGCGGGTGTCCTACTTCCGACCGTGGCTCTGTGATATCTTGCAGCGGCCCCCGTTCGGAGAGCGTTGCACTACATTAGCTCGGCTGCCATCGCCGCCGGTCCAACCGCCGCCCCAGCCGGATCCGCCGCCGCCTCCGCCGCCGCCACTATCGCCGCAGCTAACGCCGCCCGTGCAGGAGACCGCTCGCCTCTCCTCGCCATTGCCCGTTGCAGCAGCGGCGCACGCAGGGGGGCAAAGGACCGGCGGTGCCACTAAGGACCTCGCGTTTCCGCCGCCACGATCGAACGGCTGCATCTAGCTACGTCTCCACTGAACCCTCTGTAGGATCCGCATCTACACTTTCCACACGGCGGGCGAGCCGACTTTCGTGGCCGTCAAGGGGCGCAGTACTGCTTCTTCTCGGCGCCCGGTCTCGCGGTGAATGTCAAGATCGAGGAGGCCACCTTCAAATTGCACGGCGGCAACCTGACGGTGGACGGCTCCTTCATGACTGAGGCGCACGTGGTGGCGCGCGTTGGCGGTGCGAAGCGGAAGCGGGCCACGGCCTCCTTTTGGGCGTCGGAGCTCAGCCAGTTCAACACGGGCTGGAGGGTCATCAACGGGACGTGTGGCGGACACCACTTTGCTTTTGGCCTGGCTGGCAAACGCGACTGCGAGGTTGACAGGACGTAGCCGAGAGACGTAGTGAGAGGCACAAGCGCATGTTTACTGATGGAGACGCGCAGGAGTTCACTTCCTGGCTTGCCCTTGGCTGACATAGGAGCTCGCCATCCGCATGGCTTATTCGAGCGCTACCTTCTGCCTCCGCGGCTGGACGGTGACGGTGCGCGGCAATCACGTCTACGATCGCGTCACTGGTCCTCGGCACAGGGTCGACATCGACTTCAGTGAGGCGGGCCGGGAGCAGGCGGCGGCGCGCGACTTGCCGCATGGTCTAGTCGGCCAGTCCTTTTCGCAATTTTCACCGCCTTCGCCGCGATTGGGGAGGGTCGACGAATACCCCGCCGAGGGCCACGTCACGACCTCAGCGATGGCAGAGGGCGCTATCGAGGGCAGGGCGAGCATGTACGAAGTCGCCTCCGCCCACGCTACCGCCTTTGTCTTCTCGCGCTTCGATAGTGAGGGATAAGATAAGAATTTAAACACAAGAACTCTCTCTCACAGCAGGCAGGCTCGACACAGGTGCGAACTGGGAGGCTCACAAACGCCTCCGCGCCGTTCGCGACGCGGTCGGCAAGACGTGGCGCGAGTGGGACGGGCGCACGCTATACCAAGACGTCGTCGGGCCCTTCCAGGAGACCAAGGCGGTGCCACGGCGCCGCTACCACCCGCCCAAACTTACGCCGGCGGCGGAGCTGCTGGATCTTTCGGAGTTCTCGTCTACCAGCGAGTTCTTACAGCAGGCGCAGCGGCGGTACACCGTCGGCGTACACCATCGCAACTGGCTCGCCCTCGCCGACGCCTTCGTCAGCGAGGCATCCCGGCAGGGCGGCCGCTACAAGACTGGCAGGTGCAAGAACCACAAGTGCTGGCGCGAGGCGATTCGGTTCGTCGCAGTCAGCCAGGAGGGGGCTGGCGCCTTCCTGAATGCGATCCCCATGCGGGATGATATGAAGATGGAGACGTGGGCGATGCGCATGACAGTTCAGCGCCGCCTCGGCCTCCCGCTCGATGTTGCCTGCCAGGCGGTGGAGGCGGGCAAGAAGGCGCCAAACGGCAAGCCGCACGAAGAACTCGGCGATGCCGCAATGGTCAACCCGCGTGCGAAGCACGCGACACGACACAAATACCTGCTCAAACGACTCGTCAAGACCCTTCGCTCGGCGTGGGGCATGCTCATCGAGATGGAGCCGTCTGCACACCTCAGTTACAGTAACCCAAAACAACCTGACGTGGCGGCGGCGAACATCGGCAAAGGGCATGTGCGCCTCGTTGGCGACTTGAAACTGACGAGCTCGCTTGCGTGCAAGGGTGGCGATCGGCTCGGCTGGAAGGGGGCTTTTGTCGCCTTCGGCAACACCGAGCGGGCGCTGCTCGACTTAGTGTTAGGGCATGCTGCATGGCCGCGGCCGGGAGGGGGGGGGGAGGGGGGGAGGGAGGCGGAGGATGCAGAGGCGGAGGCGGCGGCGGCGGAAGAGGAGGAGGGGGAGAGTGAGGGGGAGGCGGAGGCGGGGGCACCTGTGACGGCCCGCTACGAGAAGGGCGAATACCGGTTCGCGCGGGAGAAGAATTGCGACCTGCGTTTGCTCGACTTCGAGACGTTCGGCGGCTTCGGGGACGGCGTCCGCAGAATTCTTCGGCAGGCGGCGGACCAGCTGAGTAACAAACTTTCGCACGCTCAGCACCTCGATGAGGTCACATGGACCACCAAGAACTGGCACGGGCTGCAGATGCAGCGCTTGTCTGTCGTTCTCCACACCGCCGTGGCGTGGCAGACGGTGAACGAGCTAGCGTGCGGGGACAGCGGCATTGTGCACGGAGCTAAGTGCATTGCCGTTCTTAACGGAGTCGCTTAGGCGGCTCCGGTGGTGTGCCGGTGATAGTACTAGCACGCGCCAGTTCGCACCTGTGTCGAGCCTGTCTGCTGTGAGAGAGAGTTGTTTTGTTTGAACACTTGCGGGACACCGTCGTCGGCGTCCCGGGCTGCTGTTGTGATACGTGTCCATCCGACGCTGCGTCCATCCGACGCTGTGCCGCGTCACCTAGCCGGCAACCCAATCGGCTCCGCCGGCAATGCGCAGCTCCAATGTGTCTGGGAACCGGCTTCCGGAGGTCAAAAAGCGCAGACGCCCTGCCAACCTTGCCTCGGCCGCCGCAGCTCTCTTCCGCGGGCGGTGTATATGTGCAGCGCTGCTCTTGGGCCTCCTCCCTGCCGCGGATACCGCAAAGGTGATAGACCTCCGCGGCCTCCGTCGCACCCACGCTCGCAACGGCGATGGGCCTCCCTCCAACAGCAGCAATCTCGCGCCCGAAGATCCCGCCGTGTGCGGAGACCACGCGCTCTGCGCTGACAAGCTCCGCGAGGCGCGCGTCGTCTTCCTCTCGTGCATCGGCTACCGCGACGGCGGACCTCAGCTCCGCTGCCTCGAGACTGCTCGGGCGATGCGCGCGCGGGGAGTCCCAGCCCTCTGCGTCACAAACTGTTTCTTCAAGACTCTGCGTCTCATTGTGGAGCACGCGCGCCGTCCGCTGCAAGCGGTGGTTATCGTCAAAGCCTCCATGGGACGTGCGGACATCGAGTACGTGCGGAGAGAGCTGCGCCCAATAACTTGCAACATGTTACACGACACCATGGACCTCAACCCCAAGATCCATTGGACACACAAAATGCCCTGCTATAACGGGAGCTACGCTCAAATGCTCACCGGCGTGATCGCCAACAACGAGGCGGCGTGGCAACACCTTCGGGACATCTGCCCGGCGCTCAGCAACGCCACACAGGCGGGTCTGCCCGTGCATACTATCGAGCACTTCCACTCGGTCACACGCCGCGTGTCGGATGGCGACAGCTGGCCCTCAAAGCCACGAGCGCTGCTTGTAATGGAGCACCACGCAGAGGATTCGTCGAACTGGGGCTTCTGCACCACCATTCGCCAGGCGCTGCCACCGGAGGTCGACTTCAACTGCGCTCCCCTGTGGAGCGGCAAGGCGGCCAACAGCCGCCTGCACTTCTTCACCCGGGAGCTCAACTTGACGCGCAATGAGGTGCACGAGCGAATGAGCCGGCCTATGGGAACAGGCGAGCTTTTCACGGCGGTATTTGCGCGATACCACCTGCTGCTGCAGTGGCACGCCTCAAACAGCGCGCAGAGGCTGCTCAACGCGCTAGCGACGGGCGTGCCCGTCGTCGCCAAGACCAACGCCGCCTTCCGCGCAGTTTTGCCACGGACGTCCAAGTCAAAGGTGCTGTTGGTGAGCAACCATAGCGAGCTCTTCTCCGTCGTCGCCGCTCTGGCCGCCTCCAATGCGTACCGCAGGCAGGTCTCGGACGCAGGCGTGGCGCTCGCAAACCTATACTCCGTCAACCGGACTGTCTCGCGCTACCTCAGCGCCTTCCGTGTAGGGACGAGAGCTTGCCAGAGGACCCGCCAATTTGGATCAGCGCCTTCCGTTCGGAGATGAGAGCTTGCCCAAGCTGCCCTGTTGGCGCGCACATGCTGTGAGGTTGTGCCTGCGTCCAGGCTGCCCGTTGCGCGCCGCGCCGCGGACATATCAGAGAGGGGGTGGGTGTTGTTGGTTGTGTTGGGTGACGCACATCATCAGACAGATAGATTGGAAGGTAACAGCCTGGCTCGGACTGGACACGCGAGCCGTACAGAATGTGCAGAACACCTTTAGCAAGCTTTAGCAAATGTACAGAAGGCCTTTAGCGGATGTACAGAAGGCCTTTAGCAGATGTGCAGAAGGCCTTTAGCAGGCTTTTCCAGCAGAATGTGCACAGGTACACCCATGGTTGGCCTCTCCGAACTGTCCGGCCTCTGCACAGACACGACAATGTGGATGTCACTGCTCCAGCCAGACAGAGAGACCTTGCTGCCTGTGCCCTGTGTCTGGGCATGCCTTGAGGGCCGTACAACCAGCCAGTGAGAGCGCATGCATTCTTTCATTCAAACCTCTTCTGTACATTCTTCTGTACATTCCTTCTGTACACCTTCTGTACACCTAGGTGTACACCTTCTGTACACCTTCTGCACATTCTGTACATGTCTGGACGCTCCACAAACCCTATTAGGCTACAAACCATTAGCCGGAGTACCGTGGCACTTGGAGCACTTGGAGTGCAGTCATCAACCTCACATCCAGGGCCGGGGAGCTAAGGAGCGCACCCAGCGGGCCGGATGATCGGTATCGGGTTGCGGGCAAGAGAGCCCTAGCCCCGGGGGTGCGCGTTCGCAGGGAGAGGGCCGTAAAGTAAACACGGGTCTCCGAGGGTTAGTACCGCGCACCAGGTTTCCCTTAGCAGCAGAACGCCCCCGTGTGTGTGTGTGTGTGTGTGTGTGTGTGTGTGTGTCACACACACACCCACCCCCCCAGGAAACGCCCCCTCTACTCGGAGCTAGTAAACACCAGACAAGGACACGCGACGACACACACTCCCCCTTGGCGACGGCGTCGCCAATCACAACCCCTCCGCCCGGTACGAATTTCGAAAAAAATTCTTTTTAGCGCGCCGGTGATAGTACTAGCACGCGCCAGTTCGCACCTGTGTCGAGCCTGTCTGCTGTGAGAGACAGTTGTTTTGTTTAAATTCTTTTTAGCGCGTAGAATGGTCGTCGGCTTGATTGCAGCTTGGCTGCTACCTGCAGCGTCGCTGCGACCGGCAGCCTCGCTGCTACCTGCAGCGTCGCTGCGACCGAGCAGCGTCGCACAACGAGCGTGGCAGCCTCAAACGCAATGCCGGTCGCACACGCCAGTCATGCGGGAGCCGGAGCCGCTTCTGTCTCGCATCGCTCGGCTGCCGCGGCGCGTGCTCCACTCCATCACGGAGGGCGACAGGATCAATCGCAATGCCCCGCCTCCGCCCGGCGAGCGGCGTGTCGGCGTCGCCTTTGTGATGGGCTACCTCTGGCCGGAGCGAGGCGTGCGGACGGCCCGGCTGCGTGTACTCGCGTCCCTCGCGCTGCTCGTCGTGGCCAAGGTCTTCATCGTGCGCGTGCCCTTCATGTTCAAGCGCGCGATCGACGCCGTCGTCGACGGCGCCGTGCCGCGCTCCACCAGCGTCGGGCTCATGTTTGCGTACGGCGTCTCACGCGCGGTGACCCTACCTAACCCTAAACCCAAACCCACACCCAAACCCTAAGCCCAACCCTAACCCTAACCTTAGCCCTAGGTGTACACCTTCCTCCAAGAGGGGCGCTACCTCCTCTTCACTCCAGTCGGCCAGTCGGCGCTGCGGCGCTTCACCGCAGACGCCTTTGCACACGTGCAGTCGCTCGACGCGATGTGGCTCGGCGACCGCTGAGATATGGGGAGATATGGGGGGATATGGGGGGGTATGGGGGGATATGCGCCTCGTGCGCGTCGCTCACGCGTGGGCTCGAGATATGGGGAGATCTGGGGAGATACGGCTGTCCCCCAGAGGGCTGTGCCGAATGGTGACTGGTTCATGTCTCGCAGTTCGCCATACTAGTAACTCCGCCCTCGCCAACTCCGCAGGCGGCCAGTCTACGGGAGAGCTGTCGCGCGTCTTTGCGCGAGGCATGCGCGGCATGAACGCTCTGCTGCGACTCGTCGTCTTCAACATCGGGTTTAATTAAGACTAATTAACACTAATTAACACTAATTAACACTAATTAACACTAATTAACGCACGTCGTCTTCAATATCGGGCCGACGCTGCTCACTCAGTAGGAGGTCGTTAATTAGTTTGTCAGCTGAGGAATTCTAATGAATAGGCCGACGCTGCTCGAGACTGCAGCCGTGCCTGTGAACGGCGTCTCTTCACACCTCGCGCTGTGAACAGGCCGACGCTGCTCGAGACGGCGCTCGCGCTCTGGCTGCTGGGGAGGAGGTACGGAGAGAGAGAGACTTTGAGCTACACCAGACAAGTCTATCACTCACCCAGCATTGTTTTCTTTCGAGGTACGGGGGCGCCTTCCTCGCCGTCTCGCTAGCCACGGTCTCGGCCTTTGTCGGCTGGTCTCTCCTCGTCGAGCAGCGGCGGCCTGTTCACAGCTCGAGGTGTGAAGAGACCGCTGCTCACAGGTCTCTCCTCGTCGTGCAGCGGCGGGTGGCTCTGCTCTGCGCCGTCAACGACACGGACAACGTGCTCTTCACCAGGCGGGAGATCTGGGGAGATGTGGGGAGATATAGGGAGATATAGGGAGATCCCCACATCTCCCCACATCTCCCCATCTCTCCCCACATCTCCCCACATCTCCCCAGGCTCTTCAACGCCCTCCTCTGCAACGAGGCGGTGCGCACCAATGCCAACGAGGACTTTGAGGTGCGGCGGTACGACGACTCCCTCGCCCTCGCGGAGAGGCTAGCGGTGGCAGATGCCAAGACAGCCCTGGCCATAACCATAACCACAACCACGACCCTCACCATGCCCCTAACCCTAACCCTGACGGCGGTACGTCTTCGGTCCCCCGCGGGAAGCCCCGCGCCAGAGGACAACAGCGTCTGTCCCACACACGCACAGGCGCACACGCACATGGCTCGGACACCCCCCACAGTGTAGTGTAACCCTAACCCTAACCCCAAACCTAACCCTAGCCCTAACCCTGACCCTGGCCCCAGGCTCGCGCAACCCTTCCCCTAACCCTAACGCTAACCCTAACCCTAACCCTAACCCTCACCCTCACCCTCACCCAACCCTCACCCAACCCTAACCCTCACCCTCACCCTCACCCAACCCTCACCCAACCCTCACCCTAACCCCAGGCTCGCGGTAGCAGACGTCAAGACAGTGGCAGCGCTGAACGTCGGCCAGGCAGTCTGCTTCTGGGGCGGGCTGGGCTGCATGATGGTCCTCTGCGCCGGCTGCGTCTCGAGCGGCGCGCTGACAGTGGGCTTGCTCTAGATCTCTCCCCATCTCTCCCCACATCTCCCCATATCTCCCCAGGCGCGCTGACAGTCGGCGACGCCGTCGCGATCAACGGGCTGCTGCTGCAGCTGCAGCAGCCGCTCGCCTCGCTCGGGTTCACGTACCAGGAGATTCGGCAGGCCATATCTCCCCACATCTCGCCATATCTCCCCACATCTCCCCATATCTCCCCACATCTCCCCACATCTCCCCATATCGCGTACCAGGAGGCACAGACCCCCCCCCCCCTCTTGCCCTCCCCCATGCGACTCAACACGCGGTGGGTGTCGGACACAGTGCGCGCGCTGTGCAGCGGCTGCCCAGTGGTACGGCGGTGGGCTGCAACATTGCTGCAACACCCGTAGGCCACCGCAGACATGCAGCAGCTCCTATATCTCCCTACACCTCCCTATGTCTCCCCATATCTCCCGGCAGGCCACCGCAGACATGCGGCAGCTCCTCGCGCTGCTGCGCCGGCTGCCGCGCGTGCGCCCTCCCGCGGGCGCACCGCCACTCGCCTCCGCCGGCACCGCCTCGCGGCTGCGCTTCGACGGCGTCTCGTTTGGGTACGACGGATCTCCCCACACCTCCCGACATCTCCCCGCATCTCCCCACATCTCCCACATCTCCCCACATCTCCCCACACCTCCTCACATCTCCCCACATCTCCCCACATCTCCCCTCATCTCCCCACATCTCCCCACATCTCCCCACACCTCCCCACATCTCCCCGCATCTCCCCGCATCTCCCCACATCTCCCCTCATCTCCCCACATCTCCCCACACCTCCCCACATCTCCCCGTAGGTACGACGGATCTCGCCGTGATCTCGAGGACGTCAGCTTCGAGGCCGCACCAGGCACCCGCACCGCCGTCGCCGGCCGACGCGGCTGCATCCCTCTAGCAAAGGACAAGGCGGCACCGGCTCCCCCCGCAGGCACCCGCACCGCCATCGTCGGCTCGTCTGGCTCCGGGAAGTCCTCCCTGCTCAAGCTGGCGCTGCGGCGGCTGCAAGGCCCCGCCTTCTGATGGGCGCTCGAGTGGCCAAGCGAGGCTTGTTGGCTCACCAGGCGCTGCGGCTGCACGACCCCGGACGCGGCCGCGTGACGATCGACGGTGACGACATCGCGGCGGTCTCGCTGAGCTCGCTGCGGCAGCGCGTGTCCCTCGTGCCGCAGGAGAAAGCCCACATCTCCCCACATCTCCCCACACCTCCCCGCATCTCCCCACATCTCCCCACATCTCCCGACATCTCCCCACATCTCCCCACATCTCCCCACATCTCCCCATCTCTCCCCGCATCTCACTGCATCTCCCCACATCTCCCCCATCTCCGGGATCTCCCCACATCTCCCCACACCTCCCCACACCTCCCCACATCTCCCCACATCTCCCCACACCTCCCCTTTCGGCCACACCTCCCCACACCTCCCACAACTCCCCCTTCCCGGACACCTCCCCACACCTCCCCA